GTGAACACTAGTTTTCACAGTCAAATTATATCCCCTGGTGCACAATGAAACAAACTGCCGTTTCCTCCCTCGTTGCTTTTCCGTGAATAAAGAAAACTTTTCCAAAAGGCATGGATTTATCTACACCTGAGATTGATTCTGGAGATTCAGCCAGACAAGTCAGAGCCATTTAGGTGGAAGTAGATGCATTTACAAAATACGTTTCGGACTTGAGGCCACTAAGTGCTAACAGAATATCCACGTAAATTCCCTTAAAGGTGCCTAGTTATATCAACAGTTATTCATTCATCTATTCAGGTACGAAAATAAAAAGTTCATTCATCTTTAAAATACAAAGTGCAACAGTCCTTTTCGGGACTTACTGCTGCAAACACGTGCAGCAACCCTGTGGAACAATCACTGGGGTTTTGCGGTTGATGTCAGTAGAGGTCAGCTTTCACTCAGGTCAGTGAATACTGAAAACTCTTTACCTTTGAGCCTTTCGTGACACATGGCTCACCCATTCAGTGCACTCAAACTCTGCAGCTCCTTAAATCTGAAGTGGGTGAAGTCTTCCAAATACTCAAATTTCCGCCACTTTCCTTAAAACCATGGCTTTAAATTGATTCTGTTAAAGCTGTACAAACCTAATATGGACATTCTTACCCGGACCTATGTCTAGTTTAGACTAATTCACAGTGGCTACTGGCCAAGTGAAACTCCACGAATACAGGGTAGATTTAAATCCGGCTAAGCATGGTCCACTGGGATTGACTTTTAAAGCATACATTTAAACAAGTTTAAAGCTTTGGTGGTGTAACTTTGAAATAGATATACCTTAAAGTATTGCATCTCTGTGACCTTATTTGAAAGGATTAGGGCTTCCAAAATATCTTGATATAAGACATGCTTGTCAATCAGCAGAAAGTTATGGTTTTCTAAAACATTATCCAACAACATCTACATTTTATCTCTCAAGTATTAATACAATTACTTGAAAAAGGCATATAAAAAATCCTGTTCTGACAGCAGGATCTTAAATGTTACCCTCAGATTGCTCCACCTACATTGAACATTGCTTTTCTAAAGCTAGATTGCTGTTCTACCTGATTTGCTTCATCAAGAAAAAAAGCCAGTTATGCATCTATCTGAATGTTAAGAATGAGCATTGAGTTTCACAAGCACTAACATCACAAATCCAAAGCATGCAAATTGATTTCAGTGACACAGTTGAAGCCAGAAAGATGCAAACAAAGCAGGCAAGTAGCATCACAGGAAAAAACCCCAACAAATTATATCAGTGGAAATCTTCCACGCACACATTTCAGGTTGGTGTTCCAAACACGAAAATAATCTACCAAAAAGTGCAGTACATTTAAAAAAAAAAACAGAAAAAAAACCCCCAAACAAGTAAAAGGCCAAGTATAAAATTTACCTTTGGTAGGAACAAAAGCAGTTTTCCAGCATGTCTTAAGACCTCCTCATATCATACCATGTATTTTGTCATATCGTATCAAATTGTATCCTATCCTATCCTATCCTATCCTATCCTTCTGTCTTTGGATCGCTGTCAAAGGCAGGTCATCCACAGGTCAAGCAGAGTTGAAACTAGCAAGGGATCACTTATTTAAATCAAATCGAAACAGAGCTGTGGTGAAGTGCTCTCCGCTGGGGAAAAGGCTCTTTAATCTCCCTTGGAAATACTCGTTAAGAATTGTCTGAAACTGCTAGGAATTCAAAGAAAAACAGCTGACTGCTCCAAAGACCAGAGCAGCCTCAGACATGAAGGTGACCCTTCACTTTCAGAAGAACAAAAACGCAAACAAATCAGGAGTCGTACTAGAAGAACCCAACCCAACCTGCCTTCACCCGTTTCCCCCCAGCCCCCAAAACCCTGGGACTCTTCACAGCCTCTTTGTGCCTCAGCTGCCTCCTTCCCTGTGCCAGCCAGCCAGCCCTCAGCCCCAGCCCCAGCCTACAGGGTCCCTGCCAGCCCCGGGGCAGAGAATCCCTGAGACCCCTCAGACAGCCCTTTGCTTGGCTTGATAAAGTAAAGCCATCAATACACACTGCATTTGAACGTAACATCTGTGTGAGTTTTGGAGATGTTGTAAAGGAAGGATGCTAAAAATTGCTCAAGTTTTTTTGCATTGGGGACTTTCCCACAGGCTTTGATTACACTAACGAACTTGAGAGGCTCTCTCTTTCGGAGACAAAAACAAGAATGAACACATTCAATTGGTCTATCCTGTTCCAAACCAGGTCCACACTGATTGATTTGGTTGCAAATCATAAGCAAATCTCGCTAAAACCATCAGTATAGGAAGTGCTTACCAATTCATATATGGCACAGATAATAGCAGTTCGATGTACCTTTTGCTTCTGCTTAGAACAAACAACTTGCAGAACATTCTTGCACAACACACAAGTGTCAAAACAAGGTATTTCATGTTTTACACACAACGCAAAGCTACGGTACACTACAGTATTTAATGCACATCAATAGGAAAAGTTCCTAAAAAATACTCATGCAGTTTTTTGTGCCACGGGATAGGTAATGGCTATTTCTTAGAAATAGATCCAACTGGCTCCATTGGAGCAGCAGTATAAATATTCAAAATAGAAGTAATAATAGGTCCTGATGTGAAACTTCTCTTTTTTTTTTTTTTTCTTTTTTTTTTCCTTCCCGTTCCCCAAATCTGTCCCTTCTGCCAGCAAGGAAACACTCTGCTTAGGAGCAACTGCATCTTGCTATGAGGGTATAGCTGTGTGTTCATGGGGCAGATTCTAATGACATGTGCCACATTGTTGCTAATATTGTTTGACTTAAGGAAGTATTTTAGGCATTTCAGTGGTTATTATTATTATTATTAATCGCATTAACAGCAACAAAAAAAGAAACAACAGCAACAAAAAAAACAACAGGAAGGTACAGCGGGCTTCCTAATGCAAGAGGACTTCCAGCGGGCATAGTTACAAGATGGCTGCTCAAACAACAGGCTGCACAGCTCAACGAGTAGCAACGCAAGTGTTTTCCAGAATGAAAAATGATGGTGCAGGCATGTCATTGACTCTTTACTGCCTGTCCCTGGGCCCTTCCTTCTTCTCGCCAGGGATCCACAAGCACATCTTGCTCACCGAGGCCAGCGGTGCACAGCTTTTCCACTGGACTTCCTCGACACACGTGGTGCAGCAGCTGCCAGTGCCTCCACTCACTTGGTGTAACAACGAAAGAAAACCAGGTGCTGAGCCGAATAGACACCACAGGGTGTAAATGTTTTGATTTACAACATTTTGCCCAAAGAAAATTAAAACAAAAAAAAAAACCACTTCCAAAAGTGCAACTGAAATGAAAACTGGCTTTCTGCCTGTGAACAGGGCTCTCCTCTTGCTCTCTTTTTTTTTTCCAGTTTGAATGTTTTTTCCTTTGCTAGTTTAGGGTTTGGTGCTTTGTTTTTTTTTCCTTTCTTTCATGTAGGGTTTGCTGTGCCTTTACTACCAATATTTGCCACTGTTTGTACCAGACAAAAACATTCACCTAGCTGGTAGTATCTTAATACATTTCATAGTAGAACATATACAAGAAAGAGGAAAAAACATACCAAACGAATCAGAAGTGATCAGTGCTTAAAGTAAATACAAGAGCCAGCACTGGCAAGAATCCACAGTACCAACACACACAAATGAAGCCGTGATGGTGTTTCTCATGGGGTGGAATCTGCCTGCATATTAATACAGAATTATACAAAATCTAGCAGGGATATTGGAACAATGAATAGCTAAACTTCCACAATAACTTAAGATCTGTGAGCGAGTCTGCATTGAAGATACTCCACATTTTAGAAAGTGCCATCTCTCCATGTCTTTCTCCCTCCCAAAGGAAGGGTGACGAATCCACATGATCTGTTATCAAGTAAGTTCAACAGACAAGTATCTGGCCAGGTCCAGTGTATTCTTTAAAGAATGGCAAATTATGACTTCAGTAACTATGTCTGTGCAAAATATGCCTCTTTTCTTTTAAAGAAACCAGTGTCTGCAACTCATTTAGAAAAGTTTCAACACGTGCTTATGTCCTTCTTGGAACGAATAAGACATGTACTATTGAATCCCCTCAAAACAAGAAATCTGATGGAAGCATAGAAAGTTCTGACCTTCCATTTTCACATGCAGATGATCAAAAACCAGGACACCTCCTTGGTAGCCCTCCTGGGCTGGTGATCAAACTATTGCTTGGAAATACCATAAACACCCTAGTAATAAAACTGCAAAATTAGTAGTAAAATGGTAGCAGTGTTTACCCTCAGAATCCACATTTACCTCACATTCCTTATCACTCCTGTACAAGATTCATTATTTATGGCAAAAAGTCATTGTCTGTTGCTTGACAATCTTCTTTTAATACACTATGCAAATCCATTCATATGCCAAGTACCTTGAATTGTATTCCCATATTACACTGCCCTGTGACCTTTGGATTGCTACAGGAGACCCAGCACTCAGAAGAAGCTGCAAGAGAGGATGTTCATCTCTGGCAATTAAAAAAACCAAAAACAAATGAAACCAAAATAAAAACAAACCAAAACAAAATTTCCCATGGTTCTCCTTGAAAATCAGCCCCTGTGCGATGTACCCTCTTCTGCATTGTAGCAATAGTCTTAAGTCATAAATTAGATTAGTCTTCCATCAAATAACTTAAAAAAAGAAGGAATTGTAGCAGACCAGTTTTGCCTGGCTTGACGCCAGTTAGCAGCCAGTTCATCTAGAGTCCCAGTCACATTGCTCAAAAACGGAGCTAGGAAATCACATGAGTGTTGAAAAAAATAATCTTCACATCAATGCAGGATTTTTCCAGGTTGTGGGGGGCGTCAGGGAGAGGGCAGACCTAGATGGGGCCACGGGTCCTTGAACAGTGAACAGGATAAATGTCACAACTTGGAGGTGCACCGCATTCAGGAGATGCCAGCCGTGGTTTGTATTGCACAGGTAAGAAGGAAGTTCCTCCCGACAGTCTGCCACCTGCATTAGTGATCTCTGCACATTGGCAAGTTCACAAAAGTGAAAACATTGAACTCTGTCATGATGGAGAAACACAGGAAGATGCCGTAAAGGGAAAGGCACACACACCCTAGCTTCTTGTCCAGTTTCCATTTGTTCATGTGGACGCCAAAAACCTACAATAAACACAGAGTAAGCCACCACAGCAGGAACATTTTGAACACCGCGGTTAAATCCCCTTCTCCGTTACAGGAGCACAAAGATGACTGTCCTCTCACTGATCGTGGTCGCTTGGAAGCCATCATAATGCAAATACTGCAAAAAGTGACCAGAAGACCACAGCTGAAGTAAATCAGAGTAGCCCCCTCACAGTCATGGAAGCCATGCTGACTTACATCACCTCGAGTCCTGGCCCAAGGGCCTTAAGCTTCTGCAATGAATTTCGTTTTGGCAAGGACATGCCCATTTAATTCGATCTGAAACATTTTTGAAGGCCAGGTTCCTGTTTCTTTGCTCAAAATACTTCACATTTAACTGCATCTCCATCTAGAGCCACACAGTCTAAGGCTGTGCTTCACTTGGCTTGGTTTGCTCCCACACAAACCTCATAAAAGATTAAAGTCTTAAAGCACAGGAGCACTCCCTGTAGCAGCTGGTCTCAAGAGTTGGAAGATGTCACATAAACCATGTTCCCTGTCATTTCTAGTCTGCTGCGCTGGACTTGGACAGGTCAGGGAACACAAGGGGCTAATTTGAACAGAGACACTGTCATGTCCAGGCGCTATTTGTTCTAGTCTGTGAAGTATTTCAGAAGGTTCCTACAGAGGGGCCAAAGCAAACTGTGCGGTGTTCTGTCCAACAGGAGAATGGGTCTTGTCAAGGGATCTGCTTCAAGTCTAGCATAACGAATAACCAATGATTACTACTCCCGGGCTCCTCCCATGGAAAATATTCCAGTATGAGAGCCACCTTGTAACAGTGATAGCTTCTGCAAAGTGCCAGATTAAGCTCTTGGGAAGTTTATAACAGAACTGACCAGTCCTATCCCTTAACAACAGACTTTACGACCACTATTACGGCAAGAAGTGAGAAGGGAACAGGTAAAGAAATTGTCTATAAAAATCACTCTTTTGGAAATGAAGAACAAAATACCATATACATACTGTGACAAAGACAGATGCCAGCAAGAGACCAACAGAATAGATAAGTCCTCTGCTGTTTAACCGAATCTGCAAAAGAAGGAAGTTTATAAAACCATGTCACAATTTCAAGCAACAATATTTCTCTCTGCTGATAACTCTGTAATCCTAAACTGCTGAGTTGCTTAACACTGGCTTGCAAGCTGTAAATGCCAAGTAAAACCATTACATCACAGATTATTTTGCCTACTCCCTATTGCCAAAGAAGGAGGAGTATTATTATAACAGCATCCTTAGGACCTGACGACATTTCAAACCGTTCCACCCCTACAGGGGCTTTGTCATTCCTTACACTTTGACATCATGAAATTTTCTTTTTTAGCAATTAACTCCTATGTGAGTCCTCTAAGAACAAACAGGGGAAAGGAAATTCTGCCTTCAGTAACCAATTAATGCTTCATAGTGGGGGGAAAGAAACAAGGACACACACAAACACATAATTTCTTCGCTACTCTTACTCATCTCCGTGAAGCAAATTAGTTGGCAATCTCACATCCTGAACCTCAGCTGCTGAAAATCACCGATATCAGTGCACTGTAGTACAATAGCACAGGCTGAACATTATTTAGCACTGAAGCAAATAAGGCAGAGAGACAACTTATCACTTGCAAGGCTGTGTAGAGATATTGTCACTAGGGTACATCGACTCCATGGCAGAGCCACATTCACTGTACAAGTGGAGAACCAAGATGCGGTTCCTCAAAGCTGTGGAGCTATTTAACTGCCATTTTCAGAGACTTTGGCACTCATCTGCATCTTTAACCTCTAAATACATTTAAAACTATTATTTTATGTAACATAAACCTAAAGTTACACAGGAAGGCTACAGGGAGTAATGCCATCTCCCCAGTCCCCTTCCTTAGCTGGGATTGTGCTTCTCAGTTTCCCATTCTGCTCTTGGGGATCTTAATAATTCTCCCTTTGGGCCTTAAAAATATGATCTTATAAAACATGATCTTCTCAAACAGCATCACCTGCAGTATTGTCAAGGAATCACTCAGGTGGAGTCTCTCAGGGCATTTCTCCAGGGAAGCAACAGGGCAGCTAGACGCTGCAGGGTCGGTGCCATGGGTGACTGAATCATAAATCTTTAGACCACTTAATAGCAATAACTATCTTAGGGCTACTATAAGGTAATGCAGCCCATCGTATTCCTCCCTGCACCTTCTATGTAAAAAAACTCTGTGTCAAGTTGAGCTTTAGCTAACAGTCACCAAAAGTGATTACTATTTAAAGCAGTGACCAACTATTTAAGTATCCTGGTAGAGATCAGTCTTAGCAAGAAATCAAATATTTTTCAAAGATGCTTTAGAAAAGGACACTGCAATTGTTTGCCTAGTGGACTTTGATTTTCTGCTGTGCAGGTATATTTTCAGTCCCACCACTCTGCAGCTGAGGTCAGATGGCAATGCAGTGACCTTCTTTAATGGGCTGATATCCAATTCTACATTTGTATACAAGAAAAGCCAAGGCAGTAGTCCATTTCTGCTAACGATCTGCAGACAAGAAAATAGTTCCCAGAACGAAAGTTCATCCACCTCAAACAACACATTTTTTCCTAACAGCTGGATTTATCTCTAATTTTTTTTAACTGTTTTTAGTCCAAAAAACAACTCAAACTAAACTTCTATGCTAGATATTATTGTCTCAACTGTCAACACAGAAAATAATGATTTGGTGTTTCACTGGCCACTTTTCAGTGCTCCATCCTTCCAGTTAGACTATAAGGAAGCCCATTTGCAAGAGAAGTGGGTATTGCTAGCAGCATTCCAGTTTTATGAATGCAAGACTGTTGAGGCACTTATATTCATTTGCATCACAGTCGGGAAAAACTTCTCACCTAAATACTCCTCCCAAATCCAGAGCAACGATTTAGCTTTGTTCCCCAAGGAGAGGGAGAGTCTGACTCCCAGTGCCAAGGAGAAGATGATGGGTTCTGACCTTTTGCAAACCTAAGCCATACACCCAGGATGCTCTGTACAAATCCATGTTGGAGACAAGGTCAAGGACGCTGCAAAAAGACAGTTCTGGGAGGATTTCTCTCTTCTCCTGTACATGCTCAAGATTCAGCATGATGACACACTGTTGCAGGACCATTATATTCCTGCCACCATTACATGCAAAATACAATATTCTCAGTAGACTGACTGTCCAAAGAAATGAAGGATTTGGATTGCTTTAGAGTGTGAAGGCCAGTTTTGGGATTGTCTACATAACTGAAGGTGAAAAATGTTAACGATCCCACTGTTAATGTAAACTGCAGGCTGTAAGTGGCGGAGAGGAGGAAATGTATTTTTGCAGCTATGGAAGAAGTCTCTAAGGCCACTGCAGCTTCGTTCAATCCCATGCATCCAACTCTTCTGCTTCCACTAATCTGAACAGTCCGTACATGACAGCTAACCTGAATTTCCATTTTAGTTTTTCTAAAATGCAAAAATCCTCAAACCTAAGCTAATTTTGTGAAACAAGAATACAAATTTAAAGCCACTTTCTCTGTTACCCAAATGAGCAGCAGCTGGCTGGGAAAGACAGATACAATTCTATAATAAACTCCTGTCTGGATTTTGGTCAGGAATTCTGTTTGACCAGTGCCAATATCTACAAAAACTCAGTATAAAATACATCAATTGGAAAGGAATCTACAGGAAAAGGAAGCCAATGAAGCAGCTGGAATTATTTTAGCATGCAAAATATCTGAATTCAGCCTAAAGTGCAGACTCTGCTTCTTAGTTACATCATTAGCCTTCATAAACCCAGCAGACATTTGGAAAAAAAGACCATCCCAAAGGCCTTGGCGTCTAATTTGCTGAGGACAGTGCTCCCCAAGAGAGGTGTTCAGGGCTGCTTTCTTTGGACTGTCTGCAAGGCTCCTCTCGGAGGTTATTCAGGGGAATAAAAGTTGCTCACAAGGCCCATTTAAAAGTAGAAAGCATCTGCTAATTAATTACTACAGATTTACAAATGTTAACAGGATCCCACATGGGCAAAGCAAGCGTGGCAACCCTTTCAGCAGCGTGTGCACAAATTTTCTCTTGCAGTGGTATTGCATTAAAACATTCGAGTTTCACTCCACATGAACAGTTCTCAACTTAAGCTTAACTAGCAAAGCTCCTGGCCTGGGAGCTAGCCCAGCTCCCACTGTTGAGCAAAGCAAGTAGCTATTAATTAACCTAAATAACAAGAACTTCCCTTTATGAGGCTTGACTATTGACTATAGAAAGAAAGGATGTGCTGGGAGGGGTGAAAAGGTGATTTCTAATGCAGTTCTCACCTTCCAGTGCTTTTTGCTCTGTAAAAAATCAGACCATTTACTAGGGTCATCACCTAACACCTCACTCTGCCATGGGACAGCAGGATTAAAACCCTTCCACATACACAGCAAGGAGTGGTTTCCTTGGGCCAGCAAATGCTAGCTGTGGAATGCACTTTGTCAGGAAGCTCATTTGGCTGAACCGGACACATATCACAGCTGGATTTTCTGGAAGAAAACGTGCAACTCTTTGGGCAAAAAACCTTGTTGATGGGCTTAAAAGCACTACAAAAGCTATGTAAATTCCAGACGTTTCCACTGTAGCTCAGGAGGTGATGCATGCATGGCATGTCCCCTCCATGCCATGGAGCAGGCAGAAAAGGAAGAGAAGAGGATAGAGGCGACAGGTGAGAATGGCTACAAAACAATGAGAAGTGAAAGAAAAACAACAGAAAGACAGTTGGAACAAATGGACATTGATGCAAGCCGGTCCCCTGTCACCATAGATGGGTACTGCGTGTAATTTCAGATGCACTGGATTTGCAGTATGCACTTTAGAGTTACTCTATGTGCACAAAAATAGCCCAGTTACTTTGGCAGCTCTGCACGATGTGTGTAAGGAGTTCAGCAGTGTATGAAGCATGGCTTTTCTGGCACAGACAGGACTTTCATACACGTTGAGAATGGCACACGTGCAGGTACCATGCCCAGGGTTTCTGGATTATTTAAGATAGCTGTGGAGCAAGCTGATTTACAACCATCAGAAACCTCCCTTGCTATAGATATAATTCCTATTCAAACCTATTGTCCAGACACCTCTTACCTTAAAGGTTCCTTGGACTAATACGGTGCTTTGGGATTCTTGCAGACTTTATAGCTCACATTAAGAAGACAATAAAGGCTGTCTGGGTTGGTTCAGATCCAAGATGCAACAGTAGTCTTGTCTCTCAGGGATGTTTTTTGATAAATATTCTCACTCCAACAAAGAAACTTCTCCTTGGATCTAGATGAAACTCACTGTTAACCATTTAGGGGGGCTGCAGCCTGAGGATTTGGAGAGATGTTCTCCAGCAAAGTTTGCACTGGTGGTATAAGGGGTTTCCAGCGTCAGATCAGCCAGCAGTGACTTCCCTGTTGCACAGGTCACATTAGAGCACTCCCCATGTACCATAGCTGAGAGAGGTAGGCTTGAGAACTAGCCCATGCTGTCTGGGGTCTGAGCACACATTCTCTTCTACCGAACCTGCTCATGGGCACTGAGGTATCTAATTCTTGCATTAAGAGTAACCAGAGGACTGCTCCCAAAGCTCTTGGCTAGCCTAAGCCTAACTCTGGAAATGGTTCTCTGAAAATATAACTGAAACTCCCAAATATTAATAAAACCAAGAACATTTAATTCTAGCAAACACTGCTATTGTTTATCCGTCACTGACAAAGAGAACATACGGTTCTGAAGGAGACAGGTTCAGATTTGCTCAGAGTCTGCTGCAGCTTCTCTGCACAGTGTCATGCTAACAGGTGTGCAGCAGGGGCTGCTCATCAGAACAAAAAGGCAGGTGTAACAGCTTTCTACTGTTTTATCCTACCTACTAGCGCTAGAGGCTTTCCTACAATCACTCTCCTGTTTGGCTCAGGCCTATGCTATAGCCGTTCCATCCACAGCAACCATTAGAATCACAAGAGCTCAGAAGATTCTGAAATTTGGTACAAAAGTTTAAGAAAAATGTGTCCTTGATGTGTGAGACATAAGGGTAGAAATTAGTCAAGCAGCCCTCTCATAAGACAAGTGGCATTTCCTGCAAGAGGCAATGGAGTAATTTTTTTCAGGGTATATGACGATGTGCAAGTTCAGGGAAAACAAGGCTGGCAAAGCAGTCGAAACTCACAGGAAGGGAGGAGATAATTTCAGTTTTTAGAAAGAAGCATTAAAAGGGCCTTAGGTGGATTCTTCTTAATTACAGAAGGAAAAGCCAAGTTCTCTATTCATTTAATAGGAAATGCTTCTTCCTCACAACACTCCCCTCATACTGCAAGGAGGAACAATCAACATTCCCAAACTCTCCTTTGAGGTTTGGCTTGTTAACTAGTGGCTAAAGCTAGCCAAAATACTACTCGACTTTGACATCACACATGAAAGTTTTGCAAGTTCAAAATCTACTCTGTCTGAATTTGATTGGATGCTATCTCCCAGCTTCTTGTGTAGCAAATACAAAGATGCTGCCACCAGCTCCAGCTATTCCCACACAGCTCCTGCAGGCATTAAGCAATCAAGGCTGAGGCTAAACAGTAGAGGAAAAACAATGGAAATAAAAGCGATTCTATTCTTCACTTCTTTGCTGGCAGCTGCTGAAGGGAAAACAAGGTGCTACTGCCAAAACCCAAACTGGTTTTGCTTCAGGGTGCAAATATGAAAGAAATTACCTCATTCAGGAATATTAGAAAGACTCTGCTATTTTCCAGTCCCTTGGCAGGTCCTCTGTTTGGGGATCCTTTTCCTTGAGTGTCCCTGCCTGGCAGTGGCAATTCAGTGTAAACCCTGCATTCCTTGGTCTTGCCATGAGACAGTGGTCTCAACAAACTGGAACT